TAGAAAAAATATAAAATATAATATAGAGCTAAAAATAAATATATACTAATATAGAAAAAAAAGTAAATTTTATTACAGTATATCAGGTTGACTTAATATTCTTTTTTTCTAATATTATATATTTTAATCACATATTTTTATGTTTGTAGATAACTTATTATATATACAATTTATTATTACTATTTTTTAAAGTTTATTATTTTAGCCAAGAATTTATAATTAAGTGCTCTACTATTATCTTTCTTGTTTCCAAAATATTACCAAAATTTATTATCAAAATTTGTAACTAATTTATAAAAATTATATGTAAATATTTGACAAATTTGTAAATATATATTATAGGTAATACTTTAATAAATAAATAATTTAAAACAGATATTACTATATTATATTTTATTTAAGATTTTTTAATTATTTATTATCTTATTTAAACTTCAATTTTACTTCTAATTTAATAATAATTTATTTTGTTTATTTTATTTTAATCTAATTACAAAGTAATAATTAACATAGCAAGTTAATAAACCAAATTTTTTGTTTAACAAATAGTAGTAAAAATCTTGCTTTTGTTTGATAAAATAAAAAAACTTGCTAATTCTAGTAATAATGTATTATATATGTAATAAATAATTTTATTATACAAAATTAATTTATCTTATATCTTATTCTAAAATCTAATTGATAAATTGTCTTACAAATAATAATCATCTGTAATATAAATTGGAAATATTTCAAATAAAAATACAATAAATATTTATATTAATAATTATATAAAAAATAATTATACATCATTTTTTAAAAAATATTGATAACTACGTATAACGAATATAAAAAAAGTTGGTACGTAAAAATATAAATAAAATTATATTGATTTTTGTGACTATATAGACGACTATAGAGGGGTTTGACTATAACTAAAAAAAACACAATAAAATCAAATTTTATTAACTTATTTTTTTTATACGTACCATATTTGTTCTAAGACCTTTATTATTGTATGTATTACTAAACTTGACTACGTATTATGTTTTAAAAAATGTGTTAGTGCGTTTATATAGTACGTAAATATTTGAAACATAGAAATACCAATACAATAAATGCTGTGTGATCATTTGGTAAGATAAATTCGGTCATATAACAAAACCATTTTTTAAAAAAAAAAAACTTTTTTTTTTGTAACGACATAAATGTTTCATAAATAAAAAAAAACATCATTGTATACGTAGAAGTTTATGTATACCACATGTATTTAAACTTTATTTAACTACTAGTAACTATTTTAACAAAACACTTACGAAATAATGCATAATTTAATAAGCGAGTACATTACGTATTACGTATATATTTAAAATAACATCACATGAATTAACGTTAATGGATATCTTGTTTTACGCGGTTCCTCCCAAAAATGACTTTATAATATATAAAAAAAAAGTTCAATTGTTCATTAAAATAATAGAATAGAAATATTTATTGTACAGTGTATAAATTTATATAATACGAATAATTTAAAATCTATACAGTATTATATGTGTGTATATATTTTTTTCCTTCACGAAGATGGATCTATTACAATTCAACGAGATTTATCGAGTTATTTTGAATAGCATAATTCATAGTTTATGAACTCATTGTTGAATAACGCACGTACCTTAGAGATTTTAATAGTGGTGTATAACCAGTCGAATATTTTAAAAGTTTGCTATAGTTTACTATTCACAAAAAAGATATATATTCTTTTCAATAACATAATGTTACTAAATTTATAGTAACAAATCGCCTTAAAAGGATTCTTAAACTTCAAAATACATAGATCAGAATATATGCCGTAATAATAATAATAGGAAAAAAAAAGAAAAAAAAAACAAATTTTCATTACTACTACTTATATATGTTACTACTTTTACTATGGGGTGGGAAATGATATATAAAAAAAAGGAATTTTGAAAAATTATTCTTGTATTAGGAATAATTCTCTTACAAAACTATATATTATACAAATATGCTATATAAAATATGCTTGCCATTAAAGCGCAAGAAATATATGTGAAAGAAATCTAATAAAATGTTGTATGAAAAAAAAAGTATGCTAGAAATGACCGTGTAATTTACAGACATTTCACCAGCACATATATATAATAGACAACCAACCATCAGAAAATACGTCCAACTCTAAAGTTACAACCGAAAACAGCAAAGTGTTAAATTTTAAATGGCAATGACGAGATACTTGCAAAACTAATCCACGTTGTGAAAAAAGGTATATATTACAAAAAAGAAAAAAGAAAATAAAGAAAAAATGTTCGTTATTATTATTATTATTATTAAACACATGTATTTAGTTGCCATTGCTAGCCGCATTTGGACCTGTATTATTTGGAGGTCCAATATCTTCTAATAAATCGAGGTTAAGAATATCGCCAATATCAAGTGAATTGTCATTGGTACCAGCACCAGTTGCGAGTATATCATAATTAAAGTCCTCAATTGGCAAAGAAAGTTGCGCAGCAAAATTCTCAAGCTATAAAAAAAATAAATAAATAAACTTGCTTAGTACATTTAAAAATGAATCTAACCAGTTACATACATCTCAACATTACGCCGAGTCGTGTGTGGACAAGTGGAAATAAATTCTCATACCACCAACCAAAATATTATTAAAAATATAGTAATTTACATACCTCCTCTATATTCATATTGAGAGAACCTTGCATATCTTGTTGAGAATTAATAGATGGCATTACTCCTGATGATGGAGTTGATGCAGTTTGCTGTGATTGCGCCTGTCCATTTGAAACTACCATCTGTTGTGGAGTAGTTGCAGTGATAGAAGATCCGCCACTAGGCTGCTGTTGTTGAGTCTGAGATGGCGTGGGTTTTTGAGGCTTAAAATAGAAAATAAAAATAAACAAACAATACTATAAAAAGTAATGAAGACAACAAATCTCACCTTTACTACCTTATTATTTTCAGTCCTAGTCTTTTGGGCTTGCTGATGAGCTTGTTGCTGCTGCTGCTGATTATTAGCTGTTTGAGATTGTTGCTGTTGTTGCTGCTGCTGTTGCTGCTGCTGTTGTTGTTGTTGTTGTAATTGGTGTTGCTGTTGTAAATGAAACATTTGCATTTGACTGAGTTGAATTGCATTCATTGGTCGCATTGTAACACCCATCTCGTGAATGTTGCGCTAAAATAAATAAATACATTTAACAAAATTTGGTTTTAATCTCAAATTAGGAATTTATTCAAAACATAAAATTTATGACAAACCTGTTTAGTATATTTATCTATCGAGTTTTGATCCATACTAAGAATATTTTGAGAGAATTTTTGTGCGTTAGGATCATTAGGTCTCATTAATGTCCGCTGCATCAGTATGTTGTTTGGATATGAGACCATTCCAGTCATTCCCATTCCACCGTAATTTTGCATAATAGTGGCACCAGGGATGTTCGGTCTAATAAGATTGGCTTGGTTCATCGTGTTTTGCATCGGTATTGCATGTAAAGGATTGTTGTGAATGTTTGCGTTGTGATCGTGAGGATTTTTTATTTGAAGGTTAACCTGGTTCATTAGCTGTGGATCCTGGATATCATGCGAGCTTTGAACAGACAGGGATTGCAGATTTCCATGTGGTGATATCGATTTACTATTAATATTCTGCACTTGTGACTGTCTCATTTGTTGCATTTGCGGGGTAGGGGCGTTCTTGGATTTCCCATTTTGAAGTGAGGGCTGGCGGTTATTAGATTTAAGTTCCGGGGAAGAAATTGCGTTCGCAAGGGGCTGTTGAGATTATGAATAAAACTTTTGTCCTAATACATTGCCAAACGAATGTTTTAAATAATATATAAAACTAACACGCACCGTGGTTAAAACCATATTATTTTGCTGTGCAATTGGTAACTGAGCTTGTTGATTTACCGTGCCAGATCGTTGAGTCGCGACACCTGAGAAGAATTGAAATAAATAAATTAATTGGGAACAGATATGTTAGAGTTATAAAGAACCCAAACTACAACTTACTTTGTAAATAATTAGTCTCATTCGGTGTCATTCTCGCTCTCTTTGTGGGTGATGATAAAGGCTGATTCACTCCCTCGTTATTACGTTTCAAAGAATGGTTAGCCTATTTATCAGAGAATTCGATTTTTTAACGGCAACTATTTAACAACTCTATGGTGGTTGGACTCTTTGTTTATTCATATATATTTATATATACCTGTGTTGGACCGGGCTGGGCCATATGTACTTGTGTGGAACCTGATACCACCACCTGAGCTTGATTATCACGTTGTGGTTGCTGTTGTTGTTGTTGTTGTTGTTGTTGTTGTTGCTGCTGCTGCTGATGCTGCTGCTGCCGAAACAACATTACTTGGGATGTAGGCGTTGATGGTTGTTGTGATTGACTAGGAAGTTGCGTATTTTGAGCTTGGACCATTGCGTTTTGAGCGGCTAACATGTTTTGCTGCATTTGTAAAGGCAAAATTCTATTTCCCCCAGGAATCGCTTGCATTTGATTCATCATGCCTCTATTTACAGGTTAAGCAGATATAAGATTATGTAAAGAATTCGGTACAAAATTTCAATTAGTACTTACGGTATCATTCTTCTCTGAACCATGTTTGCCTTTATCTGATTTTGATTAGCTGCTTGTGGACTCATAGACATCATGTCGCCGTTGGCATTTGAATCAAGAGACACACCATTTTGCATATTTGGTCGATTAAATTGGGGTTGCTGTTGTTGATGTTGAGCGGGTGATTGTTGCGGTTGTTGTGTAGGTTGAGATTGTTGCTGTTGGGATTGTTGTGGAGGTTGTTGCTGTTGCTGCTGTTGCTGTTGCTGTTGTTGAGCAGCTTGTTGAGCAGCTTGTTGAGCCTGTTGTTGTAAATGTAATCGCTGTAATTGTTGTGCGGTAACAGCTTGCTGGACATTTTGACCAGAAAGTTGCGGAAAACTTCCGGCAGGTATCTGATTTAACGAATCATGCATCTGTCGCATACGAATTCTACTATTCCTCATTTGCTTAAATGAACAGATTATTTAAAAATGTTAAAGGTTAAAATTCTAAAGAATTAAAATAGATAGATGTAATAGATATCTACCTGATCTACTACATAACGATGTGCATCAGCAGTTCCAGGACGATTTAACTTTGCACTATATATATCCCAAAAAACAGTCCACCATTCATATAGAAAACCTTCAGGTGCTTGTACAGGCACATCAACGTCAGGTAGCGATGTATTGTCGTTATCAGAACTTGAACCTCCGTTTATTGAATTTGCACTACCGTCATTTCTGACGCAACTCTGAAAATCACCTTCTCTTAAATAGGCTTTTGCTGTCTCTGTAGCACCACTTCGTTTTAAGAAATCGTATACGTAAGCATTCAACAATTTTTGTTCCCTCTTTATATGCATGCCGTTCCTCTGATTTTGGTCAACTTGTGAGTGAGCGGATAACAGCTGTTGCTGATTCTGTTGTTGCTGCGTTTGAGAAGGCTGTTGGCCCTGGGGTGCCTGCTGAGTCTGAGTTTGAGGTGGCTGTTGTGTGGATTGTTGCTGTTGTTGCTGTTGCATTTGTATATGGAGTAAATTTGTTGGTAACATTTGAGATTATGTATCGTCGTTGAAATGGATTTTTTGTTTCTAATAGTGATTTACAGTTTTACAGTTCAGCGAATGAGTTATTGAAAATAAAATCCGGATAAAATTATTCGGATTAAAATTAGAAGATGGATATAGAGTAAAAAATAGTGAGAAAATAAGAGGTAAGGTGACTGATTGTTGTTATATAAGCTATCTAATATAAATTATATTACAATATAAAAATATAAAAGATGATTTATAAATTGTTTTACCTGTTTTATGTGAAATAAAAAAAAAAAAATTACGAAAAAAACAAATTTTTTTCCTCAGTATATCAAGTCTTATATGGTATAAACTGTTGGTATAACTGAAAAAAACTGGATATAGAAAAAAAGGAGAACAAATTTTGTGTGAAAAAAAAAATTATATAAAATAAAATAAAAAATAAAAATTTCGTTAGTTATTGAGCCTGGAAGTACAAACCTACCCTTTTATATGGATATGAGCTATCTGTAGGTGTCTCCGAGGTGAATACGTGTAGTTTAGAATACGTTTGGGGTAAAAAATAAAGCAGAGGAGGCTATTAAAAATGAATTCCGTGCTATCGGCTAAGAATTTATGAATGAAGTGAATGATTAGGCGTAAAATGAAAAAAAGGAAATTGGGGGGCGAACATTAGTGATACAAACTGATTGAATTGACACAACAGGGATTTTTCTTGAATGATCAACCCCAAACTGTAAGAATATGATCAGATAGTCTATATCTTGTTTCACGAGAGGTCTATTATAGAAATATTCGACCTATTGTGGACCAATGATGGAGTCGTAATGAGATACACAGCGTAAAGTCTCATCGACGAACAATGAAGTCATTTTGTTCCTTTAAGATCTGATGACTTTGCCATTCAACAAAGAAAATAACGTCTTAAGTTTGCATCAAAGTGCTGGCTAAATATTCAAATCTGTCATTTATCTAATTGAATTATATATCGATATATTTTATAGCATTTAACCCCTTTTAGTCGTCACATCGATTTCTACCTGTTCAATGTGCAACAAAAATTTATTTAAAGGGTCGTTTGCTCTCATACCTTAACGCTAAAAGTAGTTGATGTAAATTTTTTTCTCTTTCTAAAAAATTATATTGACTTAACAAGCGTGACCAAGAAACATTTTAATTGTTTTATTTTGTCTTTCATTTTATTACCTGAAAACATCGTTTTTTTAAGGCTTATCCTGTATTATCGTTATATATATATTTATATTAGTGTAAGCAAATCCAGCTTCTTGGCCACGTTCAATATGTATCTCGAAGGAAAGAAACGTAATACACCTTTCACGGTGCAGACACAAATCTGTTTAATGTATATATAAAGTGAAAACATAATAATCCTAGCTTTTATCTCATTAATATGGGAATCTATGATAATGCTTTAAAAACAAACTTTGTAACTCTAACAAACAATTTAAAGAAACAATTGATCAAATTTCCAAACTATGGAAAAATAATTTCTGAAAATCTTTAACAAATAAAATATGACACTGCTATAAACAATGTTAATAGAATTTATTCATTTTAAATTTAGTAAGTTTTACATGGTTGACGAACTTCAAAAATGCCAGTACCGCCTTGTACAACTTTACCAAGTACCAATCTTGCCGATGGCGAATTTAATGTATCAATATCATTATTAAGTGTTGCATGAGTCAAGAAGTTGCAAGTAGCCTCAAAACTCATCTGGAGAAAAGGTGAAGAATTAGATGCAAGACCCATTCGGTTAAATGGCTTAAACGTTCCTTCAAAAGTCTTAAATAAAGTGATCCAATAAATTCAATGTTATAAGTAATATGCAATTGTCTTAATAAAGATAGTGATAACTTACCATATAATCCGCAACAAGTGTCAAATGCCTTGGATCTACATTGATACTATACGCTGCAAATACGTCTGATATCTCTTTCATTATTGCTCCTCTTGCAGCTTCGACCCCGTAATTTTTTAGAATAGCAGCGATATCATTAGAATATATTTTGTCAAGATCAATTATGTCATCACATAACCATATTTGACGAAAATTAACTCCTTCAGTCGCAATAGTTTTCTAAAAATAGATAAAATGTAAGAAAATGACTAAAATTTTAATCATTTTTCAGTTTTTGTCTTCAAGTGCATCTTACTGATGTATCTCCCTCAGTTTCATTCGTGATTGGATAACATTTGCTAATTCCACTAACTTCACGGATAACAGTCTTTTTACATGCATCTTCAGCTAGGTTTAGCAATAACAATTTTCTGAAATCGGCGGGAAACTAATATACAAGTGGATGAATTAATATAATAATTATAGCCCAAATCATTTCGTACAGACAACGGGTAAAATCATACCCGTAATTCTATATCACACCAACGTGAATTGGTGTGGTCAAACCGATAATCGGTAACATAAGTTGAAGATGCCACAATTTTGTCCCGTAAAACCGATCTTTTAGTTTTGTCTCGCGACTTCGAGAATAGCACTTGTGATTGGTCCGTATCATCATCTGTATCTTCTATAAACCCACCACTATCATCTGTTTCTGAATCTTCATTGTGAAATGCAAGGTCATTCTCTTTAATTATCTCAAGATCATCATCATCCGGTCCATCGTAGCTCGCAAACTGTTTGGTTCTAGAATTTATTCTTGCATTAGTGGCATCGCCATCACCATCATCAGATTCTGTAAAAGTGTGCCAATCATGATCAAAGAAATCGTGACAACTGTTAAAAAATCATTAAACTTTCAATACATATAATTACCATCTCCACCAGCATTAATTGGTTCATCTTCGTCAAATATAGCATCTTTTATTGTCCTATTTGTAAACTTATCAGTATCTTGAATTATATCTGAAAAATATTGAAAAAAAAGTAAGATCATGAACATATAACTAACTATAAATCTTTGTAAAAAACTAACCAGTATAAATTTCATTCTTGTTTTTAGTACTTTTAAGTTCATTAGATATCGCACTCATAAGATGTTTTATAAATTTTGATTCGATTGCGCGTTCTATTTGTAAAGGTACAATATTGAATTCTTCCGTATATTCTTCTCGTGGATAGAATTGCATGCGAATATTATAAATCCTGCATCGAACCGATCCATCTGGATCTCGTTTGCTAGACAATCGTTCAGTTACTATCATTTGATCTAAAATTTCAGCTAAAGTTATTTTGCTTATTTTCTGGCAGAATTTAGAATACTCTTGCTCAGACACATTCTCAAGCAATGGAAGTGTCATCATTGGTGTCTTTATCTTTTCTGATGCTGTCATAATTATTTCACGTAAACGAGGAATACCGAGGGTGACATTTTTCGCACCAAATCCGGCAAAATGGAAGGTATTTAACGTCATTTGCGTGGACGGCTCTCCAATACCTTGAGCTGCTAGCAACCCAACTGCTTCACCAGGTTCAACTAAGCTATGAAGATATTTAAGGTGCATAAGTTTTCGAAAAGCCGGTTTCGATATTGAGTCAACTTTAAATAAGCCATCTGGATCCTCATTCGTATACTGATGCACAAATATATTTATATATTAATAATAGTCTAATGTAAAATTAAATAAAATTTGAATTTAAAACCAATATAATACCTTTTCTAAAGCTTTATGGAATTTCTCGGAAACACATCCTAGATAAGTACTCGGTGAATATTGAGAAAGGACAGGATCATACTTTTGAGGCTTTTTTGCAGCCTTTTTCGCATAAATAGACGCGCAAGAGGTATTCAACACTTTTTGTGCTTTTGCAATGTCGTACTTTTGTAGCAACGCTTTGTGATTTTCTGTATTAAACTTAAATTCGTAAAGATGTCTTTGCTTTGTGATATCAAGTGAATCTTCCCCATAATGGAATTGAATAACAGAGCCATCACTATCTCTAACCGTATGATCATAATGTACTTTTAAGCTTTCCAGGTGTTTAATGAGACAGCGTTGTAAATAACCAGAACGACTCGTCTTCACAGCCGTATCGATAAGACCTTCACGACCAGCCATACAATGGAAAAAGAATTCCTATAGAAATATCAATTATTAAGAGTACATTATAACTAGTAAATATTTGGTTTATTCTCATAATTTTAATATATTTTACCTGTGGCTTTATACCAGTTAAGAATCGACCACCAATAAATCCTCCCGCACGTGCGGAAGGTTCATAAGGCAGAAAAGATGGAAGAGTCTTTCCACTAATCATTACTGGTACACGCCGGCCTTCTAATTCCTGTTGACCTTTAAAAGAATTCAAAATATTGCACGCAATGCGACAATATATACAGCAATAAAAAGCGAAAACATCTGATGTATAACTCACCTAAACAACACGATATTTGCGAAACGTTGACACTACTTCCTTTTGCTCCGGATATGGTCATGGTTTGCATGTTATTATGCGGGAAATGTTTCAACTTATTGAGGCCAAATAGTGATTAAATATTCAATATGTGTTTTTTTCTAAATGCGAATGCTTTTTCCTCTATACGTATAAGTATTTACCAGTTTCGTTGGTATACAATTTGCAATAATTGACGAGGTCAATTTATTTACACGCGATTTCATTATAGCGTCTAAGCCTTGATGTTTTTCACTATCACGAAATACTTCTTCCATCATACTTTTAAATTCTAGTGTACAAAAAAAATAAATATTTGTTTTGAAACATTAAAAGAGAGTAATATTGATAGAAAACACAAACCTTTATCTACACTTGGTAAATCCGTGTTCTCGACAGAATTGCCTAGCCCTACATAATCAAAGGCTGCAATTTTGCCAAGGTCCATATTATTATTCATTAATTCCTTTCGTTCTTGATCTCCTTCTGGTGTCAATCTCAAATCGTCCATACGGCACGAAAATCCGTATCGTTGCATATAGATTGTAAATAAGCGGCCCATAACACTAAGAAATTGACCAGTAACATCAGCCGAATATAATTCATAACATGAATGAACCAATCCAAATGCAGAATCTCCAATTTGCGATTTATCAAGGACTCCAGTGAGAAAGTCTCCATCAATAAAAATTACTGTTTCTTCTTCAGGCGCGCACCATCCCCAGTACTTAGCTGAAATCTTGGTTTTAGATCGCAAATTTAGAGGGACAAGGCCAACAGTTAAATTCTTTAGTATGGTGGTTATCTATTTAATGTTAATATTAAATATTTAGCATATCTTAATTGTATAGTATTACCCACACCACTTAAATACCACATAGGTTAAGCGTCATATGGTATTACAAGTTGATTAATAATGCATCCCGTTTGTTCACTTTGCGATACAATGTGATGTATAACCTGTGATCTTTAAATTGTGTAACTGCACTGAATTTGAGCGCAATTTTGAATAATAACATGCATATATGATACATACCATTTGTTTGCCAGTCCACAATACTTTCGGTTTTTGTATAGCAGGAGGCACAGTCAAAATTCGTCTCGAATCGGAAGGATCGAGTCTCAGTGCAGAAAACACAATCTGCTGATAATCGGCTTTTGTAAAAAACGTATCTTTACAGGTCATCCATACACCAGCCACTACATGATCTTGAATCAAGCCTCTCAAGGGAGATCCTGAAGTTGGGCCAAGATATTGTCGACTTGTGCTGCCTATTAGCAAGGCTTCAGCACGCGCAATTTCATTTTGAGGAAAATGCATGTTCATTTCATCTCCATCAAAATCTGCATTATATGCCTTACAGTTAGCATAGTGCATACGAATTGTCATTTCTCCTTTCAACACACGAGCACGATGTGCCATTATAGATGGCTTGTGAAGAGTAGGTTGTCGGTTTATTAGCAACATATCACCATCTCGAAGATGACGATATATTTTTTTGTTTATGTATGGTGTCTTGACGAAATATTGGGTAAAAGATGGTTTGTCCTGCTGTTCTCTAAGCAACTGCTGTCCAAGGGATATGCGAGATTCTAGTGATAAACTCGCTAAATTTATCAAAGAACCATTCTCATTTTGAATAAATGTAGCACCTGGCCATATATCAGGACCATTTGACACAGCTTGGCTCAACTCTTTAACATTGTAAGATGTCACCGGTTCTGGGTACGTCAACCGTTTTGCGAATCTAATAGGTACCTGTACACGAGTTGAATGCAATTAAACAGTCCATCAATAGTTAACAATAAAGTATACATAAAATTTAAAATAAGATTAACTACCCCTATTTCATCTGTGTCAATATATGGATCGGGTGATATAACGGAACGTGCAGCATAATTTACGCGTTTGCCCTGTGGTGAAATACAAGATTAAAAAAAAATAAAATAAAAATAAATAAATAAATAAATTAATGGTTAAAACTAAATATCACTAACCATTAGATGCTTCCGAAATAACCCTTCTTTTTTCTCCAAAATTTGTTTAACACCGGCAGCTGGTTCTTTGTTACGCATTGGTTTTAAATTTCCCTTCGTATTATCAAACATGCCATTTGCTGCATTTTGCAATTCTACCCAGCTTTTCATCAGGTTGTCAACAACATCTACGTGGTTTATCTCATTATCTACAAGTATTTTGTTTTTATCCAACATTGCCGCATGAGTGCAAAGTTCTAGACGTGCGTTCAAAATTCTGATCAAATGTTCACTTTGTGGATTTATCGCTGTCTTATTACCCAGAACTGAAGCTGGACGAAAACGCGTGGGAGGGACAGCAATCACGTCCATAAAGAACATATCTGCGTGAACGGCCTCAGTCCGAGAATCCATTTTATCCAATAAAAGTCCTCGCTTGCTATATAATAAAGAGCAAAGATCCGATTCATTCGCAAAGAGCTTACGAAAATGCTCACGCAATTCTTCTGGTGTAACATATTTTTTTGCTGTTTTAGAGTTGTTATTAGCATGTAATTGATCTTCCTCTATTGATAGATTCTGATCTTTTAAAGCTAACTCTTGATTCTTCTGTGCTTTCAACGATAAAGCGCATTGAAATATTTTTGAATGGCCTTCCTTTTTAAACGTTCGACAGTATCTAAATCCATATATAAACTGAGATATATTTCAACGAGAAATTAAAAACAATGATCCCTTAACTTACAACTTGCAATTGCCACATTGTTTTAGAGTAGATGACCTTTTCAGAAATTCTGCTACTACACTTTTGCGTTCAGCATTAATTGCAGTAGCCTTATATATCTTCTTATCACTATTCTTTAAACATTTATTTACATATTGTTCTTTAATAAAGAAAAACATACAATTAGATTAAATAATAACAAAAAATTCACGTATAAATACTTGCCAAGCGACCGGAAATAATCATCCGAATCAAACTCGATACAATCAATTTCATCCGATCCATGATCTTCATTCGCTGCCAATATGTCTTCAACAGCAATTCCATCAGTTCTTAGTGCTTCCAAAAGTAATCCATGATTTAATAATTTGAGCTTGGCAGTATATCGAAAACTCTAAATATTATAAATTTTGAGATGGGGCGAAACTGATACAAAATTCCAATCGTCATTTTTACCTCCGTCGCCACCAATTTAAACCGATGACAGTTCAAACAAATTGCCCTTAAAAGGGTCAATGTGTGAGAAAAGAATACAGGATTATACACGGGACAGGGGAGTTGAATGTGTCCAAAATGACCGGGGCAATTAAAGTAATCAAGATTACATGTACCGCAACTATTAAAACCATAGTAAATCATTATAAATGTTTGTTATGATTATTGTTTAAATTTAGCTCATAAGGTTGACAACGCATACACAGCATTACGATTAAGCGGCCCCAAAGCTGGATCATATAATCCACCCTCCGTAGGTAAACCCAAGGAATCAAAGACGACAGGGTTAACAATTTCTTTAACAGACAATTTCTTGATTTCATTAGAGGAATAACACGCAAATGATGCAGAATTGATTTCTACACCGAGTGGATGTGCAATATTCATATTTGCTGTAGTGGTAGGTATCTTAGGAATATTTTGAACGTGTATTCATTTTTTTATCGTTACACGAGGACCCTGTAGCATATGAGATAACTTTATTCTGATTGGCAGGATCGAGGAACAATCGATGTTACACGATTGATCCTTCACCCGGTGTGCAGCATATAAAAAAATTTATTTTACAATACCAGATCATTCCGCTAGTACATGTTACGATTATAATCCCACACAGTAAAAATGATAATCATAACATGTACCGTTGATATATATGAGATAAACCTAATGTATATTTCGCATATGACCTCGTATGATTTTAATCAAAATGTAAGATTATGTACTTTTATCATATTGCACAAGAAAAGTTTACACGTAATAGATATATGAGTTAATAGTTTACTTATTGTGCAAATATACTTCACTGTTACTGTAATTTCTATGATCAAATAATCTCTAAATTAAGTTTAAAAAAACCGTACCACATTCATGTATTTTAAATAACTTCATTTTTTTGAAAAGTTTGAGTTTTTTTATATAACAAAGTAACAAACTTCATTTCTAACATTTAAAAAAATAAGTTTGGTTGAATTATAAAATAAAAAAATTAACTTGGCTTTGAAATGCAATTTAATCTTATTAAAATTATTTAAAATGCAATAAAAAATCTAAAAATTTATTTATCAATACTTCTAAAAATTTTTTTTTTTAATTTACTAGATAATTGTTTTTGATTTCTATTTTGTAGTCAACTAATTCTAAACATTAATATGATTGTTATTTTTATTTTTATAGTGTTTACTGTAATTATACTTATGATCATTTTTATTATTCTCTATGTTTTTAAACTTAATTTATTATTATTATTTTTTTTTACTTTGGCAATTTTGTTATTACTTTTTATTAAGATATTATGTTCTTATACTGGATTATTTTTAAACTTAATATACTGAGTTAATATTTTATAGTTATTTTTATAAGTATTTACAATCTGTTTGTATTAATTGTTTAATTTTCTAAGAAAAAAAGAGGATTTGAAAGCATATTTGATCATTGTTTTATAATAAAATATTACTAATTTAATAATACCTATAAGAATAATTATACTAGCATGACTAGCAAATCATAAGACATCTATGTAATTAATTATACAAAGAAATACAAACTGATATCAGATAATGCAAACTCTAAATAAATTCTTGTAATTATAAAATTCATTAAAATTATGAAACAAAAAGTTTATTATAATAAAATTTACTAAAAACTAGTAACTTGTAGTAATTTTTAATAGCATGAGTGCTAAGTAGAAGATCTTTTATTTAAAGAAAAATAAAATAAATAAAAATAACTAAAAATAAGAAATAAATATTTA